TGCGAGCAGACCTTAGGAAACACCCACAAGTGAAAATTTATCAGTAACTATGTTAGAAGAGTGTGAGTCGGTGGCATAGCAGTTAGGATGCTAACCGACCATGCACATGGTCCGGGGTTCGATTCCTGGCCAACGCATTCCTCTACTTCCCCAAGCCATAAATAATGCTGGTAAAGAAGAAAGGTTAGGCATGAGGCTAGCAGCCCGATCGTCTAAAATAAACACTGCTACAGAAACTTCAATCCACTAACTTTAGGCCCTATGTTCCACTGGAAAACGTGAAGGAAAAAATGTTAGAAGCGCACAAACACTTGCAGACCTCAGGATTCATTTACGAGTGCATTTTAGAAGTATTTGGAAGAAATAAGGGGAGCAAACTTTGAAAAATTCAATTTTCTTAAATTACTGGAAAAGACTTAATTCCTCGAAAATACTGATGTACCCATGGAACCCCCTAATATGGGACGCGAATTTCGACACAGTGAGAAATATCTCTTGAATTCGACTTTCCAGATTACTAAATTAAAATTACTGCTTTCAAATTACAAAAACTAATATGTTTTCTTGTGAAACAAAATTTTATATCAGGTAAAAAAAGTTGAATGACAGGGAACCGTTATTAATGAAAATACTCTTCTGGCTTCATATTGGTGACGGTATCTAAATGCAAATATCAGTCTTAACATGTACGTTAATCTATTTGTGTACACCTACCTCTTCAAAGGGCATGAAGATAGAATTACAGGATACGGTCACATGCTGGAGAAGCCCTACAAGAAAGTGAAACAACTGAAGCATTCACAAGAGAGAAAAATGTCATGTGTTAATTTACAACAGAGTGGATTAACGTGGCGATAGTTGGACATGTATTATGTCACGAACATTTATTCACCCACACTCCATCCCAAATTCCATCAGATATTGAAATGATACATCTCTTCAAATCTTTGAGGCATATCATCAAACTGTGGAGGTTCTGTAGACATGTATGTTTATATATAGGAGGTGGCCTGTTTCACTCATCTAGTCAAAATCTTTTGAGCTGCAGGCAGACTGGATGGAGATGTCAAAGCCAGGCAGACCTTATTACTCCATTATCATAGTTGGGACCTCTTGCACTAAGCATAGGAAAAAGGATTCAGATCCCCAATAATATTGTCGAATCATTGTTTCTGTATGGTTCAAAGAGTTGATGTGTCACCAGAAGCTTCAAACGTTTACTTACAGATAAACATATAACCCAAAAGGATTATCAGCGATGAACTGTGGAAACAAACTAACCAAGAACGTATCATCCAGAAAGTATACCGATGGAAATAGAGATGGATCTGAATCATGCCTAGGAGACTGTTGAATGACTTCGTGCTCCAGGCAGACCCTTGAGTGAGCTCGAATGACGAACGACGAGCTGGACATGAGTTAGAGGGTGATATAATGGTAAGTCGTGCGATGAGAAGATGAGAGATACGGGGAATTGTCGGACCAGGTTAATAGGACTGCTGGTAACACAGTGAAATGGAGATGTGCACCGAAATCCTACGTTCTGCTCGGAATCCAGGGTAATAATAGTGTATATGTCGATGTTACCGAGAATGCATTTCGGACAACAATCACATTTTCAGTTAACTCACAGTCTTACAATAGTATTATTCGTACCACTATTCACATTTCACATCGAAATGATGCATCACTTCAGTTTCATACGGCATATCGTGAAATTGTAGATGTCTTTGAAGATATATATATATATATTTAATACAATATTGCTATACATTATATCAAGTGAACTTATCCAATATCGTATAAGTTATTCACAAGATTTCAGGGTAATAAAATTCTCCAATGTAAATATTTTATACTTATTTCCCCACATATTTTGTCTAAACGCCGTGACCTTAGTCTTATGTAAAATGTTACAACTATGATGTCTACAGAAGTGTTTATTTTGAAAGTTTTCACAAATTTTTAAGCGTGTGTTAGCTTATTTTAAGGTATGCTTGAAGATGTAACACTTTTTAATAGGTGAGAGTTTAATTCTGTCCGCTCGTAATCCTGGATTTGTTTATTCGGCGAGACTAAAGTCATGCGACTGTTTTATCTTTGATGTTAAGAAAAACAAGGCACTTGACCTTTTTAAAAAAATGTGACATACAATCGGTGGTGCAACATTAAAATAGGATGAAAAAATACTCCGAAAACAGAAGGAATGTTTTTGCCGACTGTTTTAGAACTATACACACTAGGCAATTGTCCTTTTGTTTATCAGTGACAGAAAACAAAAGTGGGAATAAGAAAACTTTGTCAGCTGCGGGTTCCACAAAGTATGTGTAACATCTCTCTCTGTTTGTGAAACGGATTCAGTTGCTAAAATATCTAAGGCAGGTCGACTATAACAGGTATGTTAAGGTATAACAGGCTTCGAAACACTTTAAAAAAACTGCAGGATGAAAGATGGAGCCTTTTTGCACCAAAAACTAAAGTATTTTTGATACGATGCCTAACACTTATGCATCCTAGACCTAGTCATATAAGATCGAAGACTTACAGGTGGAATCCAACAAGTCAGTAGAGAAGCCTGGTAGCAAAGACAGGACTTTAATTGATCGTAGAGATGACGGAATTGATGAAGATAACCGACCAACAACAACAAAACAGCTAAAGCCGATCGCTGTCAATAGAAGAAATCTCAAACAAGTTATGTCCTTCATTTATCTAGGAAGCATCGTTTGAAATACAGGCAGTCGGAACAGATAAGGATTTTGAAAACAGGATCAGAAATGTAAGTAAGACATTCACCACTCTGAAACTGGTTCGGAAATCTTCTGCAACTAAAATAGGGAGCAAGATTCAGATCTTGTACGTAAATATTAAGTCAGTTCTTCTATAAAGGCCATAAAATTGGAGCACGTGTCAAAGAAAGCACTAACAAAAGCCTACTGTATGCTTTCATCAACAGCCGCTTCAGCTGGCTCCGTTCCGAAAGTCAGAAAGTCCGTTAGGAAGAATTAACAACAAGAAACTATGTCAATGAAGTGACCAACAACTTAATGATCAACACAGATCCCGAAGAAAAAAAAGATGGATTGGATATACACTGAGGAGACGCACGAGTGACATCGCCCACCAAAACAGAGCTTTAGTGGGACCCGAAAAGAAAACGGAAAGCAGGGCCTGTTTCTGAGGGTGATATGGAGGAAATAATGTGAGAACGATATGAAAGTCTAAAAGCCTGCAAAGAATAGGACAAAGTGTAGTTGAAGCCACATTTCTACTAGGAATCCAAGGGATAGTAATATTCCTAGGTCCAAAATATTTCATACAATAGGATTTATGTCTTATGGTTAATGATTATCAATATTTCGCTAATTTTTCTTCGGATAAGGGTGAAAAGGTATACAGAAATAAACTCATCCGACAATTACATGCTTTCTAGTTAATTTAAAGTAGTTTGGATCATTTGCTGATATCATGAAGCAGGCACTTTAGCATTCATCTTCTCTGAACGTCCATATCACCTTTAGATTGATTGTATATCGTGTATGAAGTTTGTAAAAGTGTCAACAAAAAATAAATAACAATGTACTACGACATATATTGCAAAATTTATTAATTCATACCAGTACAAATGACAGTCCAAGATAACGAGGCCGCAGTGAATACATTTAACAAGTTTATCGTAGTTGACGATTTAGGTAAGTAAAAAATAAAATAATGTATACAAGGTAATTTGATGTATCACCCATGATATAGAATTAATAAATAGATCTCATTTCGAGCTTGTTTTTTCGCTCATAATCGTCTCGATATATACACGTGACATAATTTTCAATACTTTGAACCAGTTTCGCACACGTTTGGTCGTGGGCGAATACATAAGCAACACTGCTTGAGTTTCTTTTCAGATTATTCAACTAATCAGTGTCTTTCACTCAATATGTAGTTGAATTTCCAAAATTCTGATAACCTAACAGGCCTTGATTATTAGGACTGAAATGTAAACTGAGTCTCAGAGTCATAATGTGGTATTAAGCAGATTAAGTTACTTAATTAAATAGGGTCACTTGGTTTTCTGAGGCCCAAAGATTTTGACTCTGAGTAAGTTTGTAACTTTAAATGCTATCGTACTTAAATTCCTAATACATGAAACTGTTAGATCAGAACAACGTATTTTATGTGATAGTGTGTTGTTCGACAGTACCTACTACTGCATGAATACAAGCTCGCATACAGAAGGCGAGTTTACCTATATCAAAAGTATGGAAAGCTGTCATTATGAAATATCTCCAGGGTTTAGGAAATATAGTACGGTGAACAATGTTGAGGTTAGGCGTACAGTATTCAGTAAGGATGCCACTCTATTCAACGGAGTTGTAAAGCTTCATAGACTCATATGGCTAGAATACGTGTCGCGTACGCTCAGCCACTACCATTCATTATGGGCAATGTTAGCTGACGTAGGATTTAGTTGGGGGAAATTTAGGAGTGATCACATGAAGACGCCGTATTAATCCATGAATTTTTTGACCATTAATTTGAACCACATGGTGAGGTGTAGACTGGCCGCGGTTCTACATACACTAAGGGCTGATCTCTTGAGATAGCTTGTGATAAGGTCAAAAATCATTCCCCACCCAGCAAGTGCACTGACACCTCATGAATTCTTATATGCATTGAATTCTCTTGCGTATTTTTTATCATTATAGTTCTTTCAATTTATTTTCCTGTACCTTCGTTTGCCATATACACTATGACGACTTGAACTATTGCACTTCTGTGTAAAAATCTACTTTGGAACTCAGTCAGTCAATCAATCACTAAAATTAACTCTTAAACAGATGTCAAAGGATATCATCAACAATACACAGCAATGTCAAACAGTAGATGAACTACCAAAAACCTTATATCTGTATTTCATATATACATATATGCAAACTTTGAAGTATTAATAGTAAGGACTGTCATCTTTTTAAAAAACTGCACTAAATTTTATAGGCACTTACGAGTTCCATCAAATCTTGTTGCAATGGTATCCAAAAAGGTATTCTGTGGTGCAAGTAATCCTTTCCTTTGTGGCATAATTTATTTCCGATTATTTCTGTGTGTGTACGTGTGTGGGTAATTTTAATTTTTAAACTCTGTGTATATTTTCCAAAAATTACATTTTAACATTTGTCAAAGGATTTGAATCGTTGTTCTTCCAGCGTGGAGATATTTTCAAATACTTTCTCCTGCTTAAAGTAATTATAATGATAAGGAATTGAGAAATTGGGAAGTCTGTTTTGCAAGCATAAAATCTTATGGATATATGTATGATGTATATCCACAGTTCGCAAATACGGTTTTATTGAGTCAATCCAATTCAAGTCAATGTAATCTGATCAAAATTCTGTTTAGTTCTATTCTCTTCATTCTATTTTGCAATTCATCAATGATAAATATATTCCTTTCGAATAAAATATATGTATGTTTCAATATATATGTATATATACATAAAACTTTGGCTTGAAATCCGTGCTTATATTGTTTATAGAAATTCTGATATTATTATTTATTCTAAAGACTCAATTTATTTGCATAATTTAACATAACCAAACAAAAGACTGTGGTTAAATAATCACTCTGTGTTGTTTAACCATGATCAGTATGCGAAGAATGCGATTGGTTCATTTAAGGCGACCAATAACAGGGGTATGGGAAAATTTCCCAGTATTTCTATTGTAATACACCTAATAGTCATAATATTTTGTTGATAAAATATGTATGAATTTAGAGATATCCTTATTTGCATCTTTGAATGTTAAAATTACCTCTTAATTTTCTCTTGTTTTGTCATCTCTGTGAATCATCATCGAATGTGTGAATAATTCATTGTAATTATGACTTGCATTAATGTGAGTTATTCACTTCTACCATGGCTTATTGTGTTACCTATCGCTTTTTCTCACTAACTTGCCAATGAGGACAATAATTTGATATGAATTTATCAAACTGACTGAATTTTGTATCATTTTTGTGGTAATTATTGTTGTTCTCCATTTCCTGAGAGTCGCGAACAGAGATACATGTCAAATAGTAATGCAGTATAATTTTGACAGAAATTAATGACAAACGTTGTAGAATCTATTGATTTGAGTTTCATGTCAACCTCGTTCGGTCTTATAGAAATAAGCTTCCGTTATGTCTATTATTATAGATTCTTTATATTCACTCAAGTACCTGATTGAACGGAGGGCTGTTATCTGCAATTATTTATATTATATTCTATTGTTATGTGGCTGTCTCCACGACTGCTCTCAAAAAAGTCACCTTCGAACTCATGCCCAACACGCTGTTTATCTCTTTCATGTTCAACGTGAGGGTCTAAATTGCATGCAATGTAACTCATTGGTCGCTTTAAAGTATGTTCGATACATTTCAACTATCTTTAACATATTTGTTGAGCGATAGGTTTTCGACTGATTCACTTCCAGAGCTTCTTGTTTCTAAATTTTTCTGGCCTGTCATCCGACAGTCACTATGCAGTAAGCGAAGGAAGCTAGTTATAAATGCTTTTCGGGACTTGCGCTCTAAGTGTCTAACTAGTGTAAAAGAACTAATTTGACATGTTTTGAAAACCAAGAACTTGCTGTCTGTGCTGAGTGCAGAAGACTTCCAAAAGATTTCAGAGTGAGGAAAGTTTGTTGTGCCTCTTCGACTCTAGCCTTAACAATTTCAACTATGCTGTCGCCTGTAGTTGATAGGGTACTGTTTAGAGAAGTGAAGGAAGTGAACCGTTTGAAATGTTTCCCGTTAATAGTGGTTGGTTTTTGTTGTTATCAGTTGAATATCTTCATGCTTACTCGAAGTACTGTCTTCTCTGGCTGCTTCTTCTGCCAACCTATTTGTTTTCACCTGCAGATCTTTGATTTTGTGTGATAATGCGCAAAAACTATCGGCAACGTCTATATCTTCCAGTGCTTTTTAGCTGGTCCTGTTTTGTCACCTTCCACCACCTACCGCATAATTCAGTTCACAACAATCAAGAATATTACTGGTGATGGCAAGCAGCCTTGTCTTACTCCTGCCTTCACTTCAAAGGCTTTCCTGAGCTTTCTGAATTTTTCCGCGGCTGATATTGTCGAAGGAATTTTATCAGCCCATGAATTCGAGAGAGGGTTTACAACCACTCTATGATCATTTCAATAATGAAGCGTAGCATCGCAACTTGGTTTGGATACAGTTAGATGATGAGACTTAATGCCTTTACCTGGTTCCACGTCAATTCTCGAATAATCTACAGTTACATTTCATTTCATGGGTAGCAGTTGGTTTAACCGTTGGGTGATTTTCTTTTTTTCTATACCTTCTGCGACTATGGAGTTAGCATATCCACTGAGATATTTAAGTTTGTTTTCAGTGCTTTTTGGAGGATTATTTCATACTTTAATACTTTCACGGCTGCATTCACTAACTTTAAACCATTCAAGACCTTTGCTTTCGTCAGTGGGTTGGTTTTTATCAACAATTCTGCAGCTATCAGCGGTATTTTTAGACGCTTCGCAGGAGACTGTCAATTCCAAATTCTTTCTCCCTTGGTACTCTATCCTTATTATGCATAAAAACGCTCACTTTTTTTCACCACGAGAAAAAAGACGACGTGCACTTAAAACACTGACAATTTAATAATAATGAATACGCATGTGTTTTCAAAACTTCATCAACAATATAACATTAAGAACATCTTGAAAGATGCATTCATGTGATTTCAGCCACGTAGGCCTTTCAGAAAGAGAGATGAATTTGTGCTTTGTCTTCGCAAACCCTATAGGAGAATAAAGTGAAACATTAATTTGAGGCGGCATAATTTCCTGCCCACATAGTGTTACCTATAATAATAGTAGACTTGTTAACACAACTTTTTAAATTATGATTTTGCTTATTTTTCTAAATGAATGAAATTAGACTGCTTAATTTATGCCGAATTTATCCTGAACTTTGTCACACTGCGAAACACTTAAGATAGAGATGCAGAAAGTGTCTTGTAATCATAGAAGTGAAGTTATTGTGTAGTGTGTTGTTTCAGCAAGTCTTTAAAAAAATATTGATTAGGATTCGGTTATGTAGAACTGCGTCTTCATCCCCCGTATGCGAGTATTAAGGATACTTCTTAGTTGCTAAGGCTGAAGACGGAGCTAGATTCGAGCTGAGGGATCTCTGGCTGAGACAAAGGTCATCAAGTCTCCTAACTACATCTCCACAGATACTTGATATTTGTTCATATTTGAAGCCTACATGTCACTTGTTTCTAATTTCTAAATTTGAGGAATTTAAACATCTCTACTGAATATAAGTGGCAAATTTTGCTTCGATGAGATTTTGAAAATCAGTTGATTGAGTACTACAATGACGTGGTCCTGAGGTATTTATGACTGGCGGAATTCATGAATACCTATCGCAGCGAACTATTGATAGACATATATACAGCATTATGTTATTCAGTAAAGAGTGGTTAGTAGTGGAATCCAGTTTGTGCGTTTCATCTTACTTGTCTCATTTGTCCTTCGGATGTACCTATAATCTTCAGTGAGTGATAGTGTTCTCATTGAAACTCGAATGTAACATTCATTGTTTCAGACTCGAAAGCGTTATTCACTAAAGGAAATGCACATCCTGGATTACACTGCTTGTCATCACCAACCAAATAACATTGTGTCAGTCTCCTGGCATCATCGAAGTGTGAGTGCTAGGAAACGAAATAACAATAAAGTCTGAATATTTTAGTTTGATCATTTAGCTGGAAGACTGCAAGCAGTAGGCAATTTCAGCACGACGAAACTTTAAAGAAGTCAATTCCTCCACTAATCTGGGCAGTATAGTTTCAGCTACAGTTGACAGGGATGAAGGTGTCAAAATCAGAATTGGAAAAGCAAGGCAGATTTCCACCCTTTGAAATCACTTCGGAAGCCTTCTGAAGTTAAAAAAATCTGAATTTTAACAATAGTGTCAAGTCAATTAGTTCTTCTTTATGGGTCAGTAATTCGGCTTGCACATCAAAGCAAACATCGGTAGCTATTTTCGCTCTACTCTGACGTCCAGATAACCAGCCAGAACAGATAAGTAACAAGAAATCCTGGCGAGGAAACAATCAAGAATGTACTGCCCGATACAAACGTAGACGAAAGTAAAGATAGGTTGGAAAAATGCTAAGGAAACAGTTGAGTGAAACTTAGCGTTAGGCTATCGCCAGAGTGGAACTCGGATGGATATTGACGAGATAGATGTTTTTCCGAGGATAAAATGGAGTAGATCGTGTGGACAATTCAGTAGGCAACCAAAGAGCCAGCTAAAATGGTTGACAAAGAACGAAGTGAAACCGAGGTTGACTATTGAAGCCGTGTGTTTCACCGAGTATCCAAGAGGATCATAATAATAATAGATTGGAAGAACAGAATTGACTTGTTGTGTAACTATGGTGTATTTTAGGTAAACGATTAAATTTAGCATTATGCTGCACACCAAACATGCAAGTGAAATCTATATGGTCAGGGTTTTTCCAGTTACAGAAACACACACGCTGAAAACAATGTCGAAATGTGAAGAAGCTATTTACGACTTGTGCTTTAATCATCATGTTTAACCTTTCCCCATGTTGAATGAATATATTATTGATCTGTTGATTGTTGAAATATGAATGGAATGTAGAACGTTTTTCGTAAAATGAAGATGAATGCTGGCAAAATGAAAAATAAATGAACACAATAGAAAATGGGAGCCTTTCCTTGTTGTGGTGGTGCGTTAACATGCTGTTATCGCGACTAGCTTTGGTTAGTTAGCAGTGAAATCCTCAGAGTACGTTCCATCTTGTTTGAGACACGTTGGTCAGACGAACATGCATCTCACGAAGTGATTGCGTTCCCACTAGGAGTTAGATTTAGTCTATAAAACATCATTTAAATTAATTATGGCTTATAATTTGCCACTTTCTATCTACTACTTAACAATGAACTAATATGCATAAGGGAACGCCATTATAAAATGAAGAAATAAATAAAGATTACTCATTTTTCTAAATTACTGATATAAAATTTGGTATGCGT